ACAACTTTAAAATAGTGTTTACAATGACTGCAAAGGAATGTTCGAAAAATCAGTTTCTAACCCTCTTTAAGCTTTCCTTGCTTCGCACAAACATTGTTCGTTTCCTCCATAGTTCTGCTCATGTTATAGTCGAACCAGTTTATAACATTTTTGAGAGCTTCTTGAAAGTTGAAGAGTGTGATCTTATCTTTATCAGCCAGATCCAAAAGAAAACCAACAATCCAATTACTTCAAGCCCTGCTAGACGCAAATTTTTCTCCCCTAAACGTAGAATATGCAGATCCATTACGGGCAATATACAGTTTGACTCTGGAATGTGAAAATTCCCGGCGTTGTCGGCGAATTCGGCGAGAATTTTCACATTTCACTGTTACAACTGTACTGCATTGTCATAACTGTAGAGCTTACAGATTACTTCAGCATAAAGATTTGGATGAAAAAATCTACACAGGGTTTACAGCCGTCATCTGCTAGCAGCAAAGAAAAAATTATTATTTTACCAATTTATGAGTCTCGCCGGTAAGAGCGATGCCTACTTCGAATTGCATGTAAGAGGCTACAAAAAATATGGCGTTCTCAGGTGCGAGGGAGGTATCTAACGTGATTTTTGGAGGAATTACGGGGCAACTTTGGAGGAGCCGATTTTATGGCCTGAGATGCGTGTTGGAGGGGGGGGGGGCTAATAACTTTGCGAATATTACGGATATGAGGCTGGGATTTGTTTTATTAGACAGATCTCTGAAATTATGATTTTTGGAGAGAAGGTCGTAGGAGAACAAATTTTCAAAAAAAAAAGTGTCTAATTGACAGTCGAACTTAGGACATCTGTATAAGGGCGAGTTTGCGCCCTTATACAGATACAGTTCTCTGCAAGTTGTAGAGTTGGGGTAATCTCATGTGGTCGTTGACATGTATTTTGGTAGCTCTATTTTTCTAAGGGTAGCTCGCGCCCATAGCTCCAGCATGGGAGGCGCTATATAAGCGATGATGCATATTTTGAACTTTTGGGAGGCGCTATATAAGCGATGATGCATATTTACTTTATCTCCGTGAGTAAGGATGACGGGCTGGGAAGCTATGTTTTAGTTTGTAGATTCGAGATAAACACCACACATAATTCGGAGAAAATTCAGGAGCTTCGTGTGGGAGTCCATCTATAAAACTTCCCGGATTTTTTTAGTTATGGCCATGCGATTTTTCCTCTTTCTTCCCCCTCATTTTCCCCCTCTCTTTATCACTGCGCGTGTGATAGTCACCCGGTGGCCATCTCGACCTGGTTAGGGGGCTGAAAACAGCTAGAAAGGTGGTAAATAGGGTATCAAAACGCAATTTTCGCTTAATTTCTTCGTATTTTTCCTTATTTTTCTTGATTTTGATAGTGGGTCAAACTGAAAAGTGGGCGGAGCTTGTATGGAGGAGTTGTAGCTGTATAAAAGCGCTGAAAGTGAGCTTATTTTACACTTTTTCGATTTTTTCGCCCAATTTTCCGCTCATTTTCTTCGGTTGGAGTGCACGTGGGCGGTGTCGAGAGGGGAAGGGGCGGAGCTTTATTTGAAGGCGTTTTGAGTGAAGTGAGCGGAGCTTTGATTGCCGGATTAGCGGTTTTGCAGTGATAGACGGGGAGATGGTAGTGCTAACAATGGGTAAACTGTGGCTGTTGAGGGAAGAATGGGCGGGGCTTGTAGTTGAGCGGGCGGAGTCTTGGGAAGTGGGCGGGGCCTTAGAGGGTGGGTGGAGCCTTGGGGCTCAAAATTGGGGTGTGAATCTCAGAACTTAGCAATCTAAACCAAAATTTTTGAGGTTGCGAAACCTTTAAATTCTTCTAATCTTCGATTTTATTTTATCAATTTGAGACGCTCCGCAACCTCCAGAATATCGATTTCATCAATTTTGGAGGTTTCGCATTTTCAGAATATCGATTTTATCGATTTATAGCTATGAACTGTAAGCCCCGCCCACTTGCGTTGTCACTATGTACCCAATATATCGGTAAAAAGTCATTTAGTTTTGATGTGAGGTCTTCAAATATGTTCTGAAAACGGAACTTTGTTAGGGCAACCCAATACTCAATGTAGATAGAGAGCTAAGATAAACATGATTCGATGCAACAGCTTCTCCAGTTTCTTAGCAGCTAAACATGGTGCAAAGTATCTTTTGAAGTGAAAGCGAAAAGAGCTAGCAAACTTTGTCAGAGTCATAATTTACCTGAAATTTAGCCACCGTTAACCCTAGGGAATGAAGCTATCACGGGGAGCAGATGTGTTTTTTGTAATCAGCAGGTCGATAACCTCTATGCTCAATTTTCTAAGAAAATGGTGCCACTTGATTTTTCTCGATTTTCGCTCTTGACCTCGCCACTGGTTTTGGCTGTATTGATAATCTTGAATTCACCCGAAACTTTACTCACAGTAATTTTCAAACCCACTGTTCACGAAAATCCTAGTTATTTCGCGCCAAAGAGTTCTACAGTGAAGTTTCAAATGGAAAAAATTCAGTTAAAACACGCACACGGTTGAAGATTCGTTGGCACTTCTCGCCCGTCTATCAAAAAACTTGCTTGCGTGTTTTTGTAAATTAGAATCTTTGTAAAGAACGCTATCAGGCTGTGATTAGCACAGGCTCCTATCTGCACTTTTCGTCAGATTATGAGTTTACAAACTCACGTTTTCATGAATTTTCTCCCAAATTTCAGAATCTTGCATTTTGGCGAATTCTTATCCCTAACTGTGCCACCAGCAGTAAAACAATGTAAAAATTGTTGTCAGCGCATTGAGTGATCCATTTGAGCGGTGACCCACCTGCACCTCACCACCGACTTGCACTGCTTTGCAGAATTGTAGCTCGCCCAGCAGTCGGTCTACGAGCCAGCAGGTAGGCTCATTCGAAAAAGCGCGGCTCCTCTACACGAAGGTATGCAGATTAGTTGGGTTTGGGAAGTCCCGGTGATTTTACGGATGAGGTGAAAAAGAGCAGCTTTAGTCTATGCTAAGGATTTTTTAGCCAAGGTTGCGCAGAGCTCCTTTTGCCAGTTCCCCTATAAGTTTGAAACTGTCAATTCTCTTGTAATAGATCCATTTCAAGGCTCTAAGACTATTCTGTTGGTAAGAGCTTTCACTCCAATCACCTTTAAAGATGCTCTTTTTCACCCCATCCGTAGAATCTCCAGGATCCCAAACTCAGCTCATTTGAACACCTTCGTGTCGAAGAAATCATGCTCTTTCAAATGGGTCTACCTGCAAGCTCGTAGAATTACTGCTGGCAGAGCTACAAGCCTGCAAAGCGGTGCAAGTCAGTGATGAGGTGCAGACGGGGTCATGTGCACGCACTGTCAAGAGCCATTTTCAGCAAAGAAACTCATCAGCAATCGTCCGATGCACAGAGGATGGCAAAGAGCATCCATTTTATCTGGACAGCTTTGTTAGGATGTTTTGAATAGGTTTCCATGTGAAGAAATTGGCTTGAAAAAGGTAATTAGAGGTTATTTTTTGAAAATAAGCAAAAAATGCAAGCTCGAGCTTTTTGGAAGTAATATCTTCCTCGATAAGGTCTATTATATGGTATGCTTACCTGTCAAAAAAAACTTCTGTTTTTGCTTCAAACGAAGACCTGAAGGAAAATTCTAGCGTTCGAAAAATTATTATCCGCGACATTGTGACGCGGCCATTCTCGGACCTTTTATAGAAGAACATTTTTCAAATTTTTAGAATACATGTTTTCAGAAAGTGCAGTGTGTGGGTTGTAGCTCTTGAAGAGCTCTATCACCTCATGCAATCCAATCATTTTTCCATCCTTGTTTTTCACCCGAAAATGAGCGATGAAAAAAGGAAGGCGTCTCGTCCGCAATTTTTTGGCGGTCACTGTACATGCAGTCAAACATTCATGACTTTGGAATGTGAAAATTCTCGGCGATGTCGGCGAATTCGGCGACTTTGCGTTTTTCGCCGATGGCGAATTCGCCGACATCGCCGAATTCTCGAGAATTTTCACATTCCACTGTCACAACTGTGTTGTCAAATAATACTTTATTCTTTGAGTTTAAAATTTTTGAACAGCAACAAGTATGAAACGTTACACCTGGGAACTGCCGCCTTTCGAAAGGAAAAATCCATACTGCATTTTTTGCCTCAAAATGCATAAAAAGTCACATTGTTCCATAAAAATGCTGGTTCATCAAATTTTCAAGCACTCATTTAACTCAGATGAGGGTAAGGATTGCTAGATTTTTGCGATAAATACGGTGAAGGGCGCTCGAGTCACTCGTGGACCTTGATAATGTTAAACGAGCCTCACGGGAGATTTTATACTGGCATTTAAAAAAGCGTTGTTATTGTGATGTAGAGTAAATCTTTGTCTGCATTTCGCTCTTTTCGAATCGACTGAACCCAGTCTCTAAAGTTTATAATGATTGGAAATAACTTCCAGCTTCTAAGTAAACTAACGCATAGGCATATCAATAACTCAAGAAGCTAATTTTGAAGCAGTTTGAACTCGATTATGTACGAATGAGGTTTAGTAACACTCAACTAATACTCATGGAATATTTGAGTGGCTGTAGTTGTCTGTTTCATAGCTTTACCAAAAGCCGAGAACCTCGAATTTGTCAGGATTCAAAGCAGGATGGAAGCAGCACTACAAATGCTCCGAGATTTGCTCCATTCATACCAAATCCAGGCTTTTCTGGAAGCCTAGAATGGAATTTTTGATATTTAGCCAAACTTTGAGCACGAAGAAATGGGTATAAATTCTTTTATAGTTCAGGTCTTCATTATTCAAGATTTTATAGTCGTTTGGAGAAAGGAACAAAATTTCGAACAAACGAATAGAAAACGGCAAGCACAATCAAAGATAGCGAGAATGAAGCTCCAGGATCTGAAACACTTTTAGGCTCTGGTTTCCGTTGGGAATTTTGATGCATGCGTCCCATATGAGGGACAGTTTCTTCACAATCTAATACGATACTCTGCAAATGAATTTCGCCTACCTCATAAGGAAATTGCAGTGGTAAATAGAGCATAGAGCGCAATTTTAGAATTTACAGTTTTAGTGGTCGAAATCCTACAAAGTGATTCAGGTATATTTCCAAGATGAGCGCTATTCTCCGGTTACCAGGGAGCTGAGTGGCTAATTGTGATGACTGCAATGAGCAATTTATTGGGAAGAAGATTTATGCTTGAGTAAAACCATACAAAGTTTGACTTGCACGGAGCGATGGAGATCTGAGTACTCACTGATGCAATGATATGCAAAAGATCACAAATATTCCTGACTGTGAAAGCTCGATGATAAGTGTCGTAAGAGCTATTTTACAATTGATTCTATACACGCATGATGATGAATTCAACACATAGATAGTCAAAAGAGAAATATACGCAACATTCTGTGCATGATCTATCGAGTAACGTCAATTGTCTGCCTTCGTGTCCCTCGTTCCGACCTCACATGTAGGCTTCGCTTGATGTTTGGGGTAGGTGCTGAGATCTTGCGCAGGGTCTCAGTGGGATACCTGCACGAAAGCAAATTAATTGTTGAACTACGACGTTTTCTATGAAATGATGACTGCCATAAAAGCAGTCTCTTGATCACAATACTCTCTAGTCATACATTCATAGCTGAGTTTTGGAGTCAGCTTTAGATGAAGTCAAACTTCCCAGATAGATGTCCATCTAATAGTTCAGGAGCAAAAGACTGAAGTCACAAGAAAGTATCAATTGAGTTCAGCTTGTAATGACGCTTCGTCAAAGGGAACATGGGCTGCATTGGCATTGCGAAGGATGCCTACTTCTGCAATTCCCGCTTTCCTTGAATTTCAACTGACCCGTTTTCGTAGCAGCATGGCTATAGTAAATTGGAGCTATACGCATGTGACTTTGCAAAACAAAAGCGCAACAGCAGGTAACGCTATATTTAAAAAACGGGCCTGTGGCTTCTACTGTCACATTTTTGTCAGAGATTGCGCTCGTACATTGCAGGAGTGCATGGCAGTGGTGATGACATAGAAGATTTCAATAAACGATGTACACATAGACTTGGTCTTCGAATGAAACTTAAAGATTCATGCTCTTACCACCATTGCTTTTCCGTACAACTATACTCGCCTCATCTTTTAAACAGAGAAGAACCTCTCGGATCTGGTTGCCAATTTTGCAACAGAAGAATCAATCAAACAAGAAGAGCAAGTTTAATTCGCGTGTGAATCTCAGCAAGACAATACGAGAGAACGGATTAGTGTTATTAGGTGACCATGTGTGATAATAGTCAGTGGAAATTGATCGAATGGATAGATAAAAATTTTCTCAATCATGGGGAGAATCTGCTAATATGCCAAGAAGATTTTCGATAAACTCATAACATTGATATATTTCTATTGATTCCTCATCGAAGTTACGGTCTTAAAATGTTGATGGAGAGTTTGACTCTGACCTTCTGCTTCATCCGACTATGCACACAATTACCAAGAAGCTTTTGAACTTAAAAATCCTCATGATAAGCGCAATTCAGATATCGTGTCATGTGTTCCTTTTTTAGGTCCATTCTTCTTCCTGCACACGATACTTACTAATTTGATAGAACTCGAGAACCAGTTGACTTTTTTGAATACGTATAATTTGAGCATGCCACATGCCGCTTTTCCTACATATACTCAACACTCTGCCGTAGATAGTGATACATCTAGATATGTGTGTGCTCCACCAGTGTATCCCTGATTGCTGGGTATGCATCCATCATTCCTTGTTCACGACCAAACTTCTGTATGGACATGTACGGACATGTCCATATATGTACGGACATGTCCATACATGTATGGACATGTCCGTACATGTCCGTATATGTCCATACATGTATGGACATGTCCATACATCAGCGTCGCATGACCATATCTCGCTTCAGAGTGGACGAATTCTGAATCCATAGCAACCATTCGATTCAGCTCGGCGCGGAGAATCTTCTAATATATTGCAAGTGGGGGTACGATGTCTTCGATATTCCGTTTTCAGTTTTTTCAATTTGTTCTGCGGAGGTCCTTTCGCGAATATGTGAAGCAAAGCCTACCCAACATAGAAGATTTTACTGAGTACTATTCGATAATACTGTTGTTGTAGATTACTGTGCGCTAGGAAATAGGCTCAGACCTCTTTCCAAAGGATATATAAGCGTTGGTGAATTTTGGAAAAATCACGCGTTTTTAAATTCTACTCGCCATAACTTCCTTCGGAATGTGTATATTTTGAATCCGAGAGCAGCGCCTTGCTCAGCTCATCAAGGCGAATCTTCCTATGGACAGCCTGACCTTGATATTTCAATTTCATTATTCTTAAATCTTTCTGAGGACGTCTTTTCGCGAAGGTGTAAAGCAGCGAGCATTGTCCCGAGTAAATTCCAGCAAGGATCTTTCGATAGCACTTTTTCTGTAGATTACGATTTGCTAAATAGTAGCCGCAGGTTTCTTTTCAAAGAAAATAGAACGGCTGGTGTATTGTGGAAAAATCTTGTCGTCCCAAATTCTACTCGCCATAGCCGCAGGATACGAAGCTATCTTGCTAAGCAGATGTGAGTTTCGAAATCAGCAGGTCGGATAACCTCTGTGAGCAAGTTTTCCGATATGTTCGGGTTATTCCATTTTTTCTCGTTTTACGCTCCAGCAGCTCGCCGATGGATTTTGGTCAAAATGTTGATGCTCCTGAATTGTAAGGAAACTTCGCTTATAGAGGTTTTCGAACACGCTCTTTACGAAAATCGTGGTCTTTGAGGACTACAGGGTCTTTTTGGAGAGATACGGTGAGGTGACTGTAACTTCATCATCAAAGTACGTAACTTTGGCCGCACTTCTCGCGTATCTGTCAGAAACCTTGCCTGCTTGCTTTTCTCAGTCAAAGTTACTAGGAAATGTGCTATAGAATGGTGCATTACTCAGGCTCTAGTCTGTGAAATTCGCCGAGTTACGAGCCTACGAAAACACGTCCTCATGAATTTTGCCCAAAATGTAAAGATCGCATATCTCGTCGAAATTCCTCCGTGAGCGCTTGTATGACGCTCGTTGCAGATAATATGTTCGCTTCGTCGAACGACTCCCACTGCACTGAATATGGTGCTTGCGTCTGCTTCAGCTGCTCAATCGAATATCAAAGCTATTTCGTGGTAGAGCTCAAAGCAATGGATCTAACACAATAAGATCCATTAAAAATGTGGAAGGATTTGATCAGCGCCTTGTATTAGGTCATTCGGAAAGTTTTTTTTCCTTTTTGCGCCTTTGATGTTGATACCATATTTTAAGAGGGTGCCAGGGGGCTGATAAGGGTTGCCATATATGGATCTGTAGAGGAAGTCTTCTAGTTTCTGGGATCCCACCGAAATTGCAGAAGACGCTTTGTGGGGAAGTTTACGCGGTTCTAAATTCGACATACGAAAACGCGATTTTCGAGTAATTGTATTCTCTAAGCTTAAATTTGAGCGTATGACCGTTGAGGAAACCATCCCACTTCGCTAAAGCTGCAATACCGAAAAATTTCAGCAACGTGTACCCCACAAATTGTCACACTCGCAGATTGAGGGCGCGTTAACTCTGCTTTCGTCGCTCATAATTTTATGTAGCAATCCTTTTCCGGCCTGGGTTATTAACTACAGCAAAAAATTGGCCAAGTGCGGCTATAAGAAGCGACAATGTGGTAAATCATTTGGAATAAGCATTGAAAGCATGACCAGAACAATCTGTCATTCCAAAGGGTTGATGCACTCAAATTAATGTAATCCTGCTGGTCTTGTACGCTACAAACTTGCTAAAATGCGATTGTACTGTAAGAGCAGAGTAGTGTGATGTCGCTCTGAAGACTGTTTGTCAAAATTTCAAAACTGAGTAGATTTGCACGTATAAGCTATGAGAGTTGCCATCCACGCCCATGCTCCTCCGCCAAACCACATGTAAGAAAAGTGGCTCTCACAAAAGGGGTTGACTGCGCACCGAGGTTCCTGTTTATTTTTCAAACTCTTTAGACCTTTCTTTACCAGTTACCGAATTTTCCAATTCCTCGGTGCCTATTAAAAAATAATAGGACCTAATAGAGCTTGACTAAAACCGCCTTTTTGAGGCTTTAGTGATTCCTCTGAGATCATTACGCAAGAGAAAAGCACAAGAGCATTATAAGAGTGTAACCAGAAATTTGCTGAACACAATGCAGTTTATTTGATGGAAAATGGTTGAATCGGGAAAAATTGCGCTCGTTTGAATTTGGAGGAGCAAAAGCGAGAAAACTTTCCGAATGACCTAATACAAGGCCCACGGAGCAATTTCGACGAGATATGCGATCTTTACATTTTGGGCAAAATTCATGAGGACGTGTTTTCGTAGGCTCGTAACTCGGCGAATTTCACAGACTGGAGCCTGAGTAATGCACCATTCGATAGCACAGTTCCTAGTAACTTTGACTGAGAAAAGCAAGCAGGCAAGGTTTCTGACAGATACGCGAGAAGTGCGGCCAAAGTTACGTACTTTGATGATGAAGTTACAGTCACCTCACCGTATCTCTCCAAAAAGACCCTGTAGTCCTCAAAGACCACGATTTTCGTAAAGAGCGTGTTCGAAAACCTCTATAAGCGAAGTTTCCTTACAATTCAGGAGCATCAACATTTTGACCAAAATCCATCGGCGAGCTTCTGGAGCGTAAAACGAGAAAAAATGGAATAACCCGAACATATCGGAAAACTTGCTCACAGAGGTTATCCGACCTGCTGATTTCGAAACTCACATCTGCTTAGCAAGATAGCTTCGTATCCTGCGGCTATGGCGAGTAGAATTTGGGACGACAAGATTTTTCCACAATACACCAGCCGTTCTATTTTCTTTGAAAAGAAACCTGTGGCTACTATTTAGCAAATCATAATCTACAGAAAAAGTACTATCGAAAGATCCTTGCTGGAATTTACTCGGGACAATGCTCGCTGCTTTACACCTTCGCGAAAAGACGTCCTCAAAAAGATTTAAGAATAATGAAATTGAAATATCAAGGACAGGCTGTCCATAGGAAGATTCGCCTTGATGAGCTGAGCAAGGCGCTGCTCTCGGATTCAAAATATACACATTCCGAAGGAAGTTATGGCGAGTAGAATTTAAAAACGCGTGATTTTTCCAAAATTCACCAACGCTTATATATCCTTTGGAAAGAGGTCTGAGCCTATTTCCTAGCGCACAGTAATCTACAACAACAGTATTATCGAATAGTACTCAGTAAAATCTTCTATGTTGGGTAGGCTTTGCTTCACATATTCGCGAAAGGACCTCCGCAGAACAAATTGAAAAAACTGGAAACGGAATATCGAAGACATCGTACCCCCACTTGCAATATATTAGAAGATTCTCCGCGCCGAGCTGAATCGAATGGTTGCTATGGATTCAGAATTCGTCCACTCTGAAGCGAGATATGGTCATGCGACGCTGATGTATGGACATGTCCATACATGTATGGACATGTCCGTACATGTATGGACATGTCCGTACATGTCCATACATGTCCGTACATTCGCGTCTAATTTTCAAAAAATGTGAGCGGTATTGTACTACTGCCTATGGGTATCTGGACAGATAACCAAAAGGATCTGATGGCGACCGTTTAGGCTGGCTTCGTAATGTAAAGTGCCTGTGCCGCTTAGTGATCACATTGGCACGGGTGGCAAAGGCTGTTTTTTAATTAGTCTTTAAAAATTTATAATATATCAACATCTTCAGACGACTGGCTTCCCAGTCTTTTCGCATTTCGATGGTCCTCTGCTATCAACTTTACCCTTCGCAACTGTTTGTGGAAGCCTTTGATGTTTTCATTCATTTCTCCCTCTCTAGATATCTCGGTTCTGATAAGACGAAAATAATGTTATGGTTCTTGGAGCTCTTTCAACCTTACGCATGTGTCCTAGCATTTGAAAATTATAGGACTACCATATTGCGATTGTGCTACGCGCCTCTAATTGTAAATCACTGCGGCAGTAACAGAAGAGTTCTCCCTTGCTCTTTTTCGATTGTCATGTCCGTCCATGACTGTGACGTTGCAAATCGCACACATTCGTTAGAACGTTTTTGAAGGCAGTGTCCAGACCAATCATAAGTGTTACGGTCACCGCGCAGCAGCGGAGTGTTTGTGGATGAATTTCTCAGCCGTGAAATTATTTGCGCTGCGGTTTGGGTAGTGCTTTAGCTGAAGCCTCCGCGACAGTTTCCAGGCAAAAAACTCATATGCCCAGATTTGCCTTTGATCGGTCAACGTCAGTGTCTACAACTTCCATCATGCCGCACCAGCAGACTCTATCGTCGCGCCTTGCAATGGTGCGTAAGCAGCACCTTTTAGAAAAGACATGTGCTCTCTTCTAGAATAAGCTTTTTATTTTTATCTTTGATTAGATCCCTCTTTTGCCCATAAGTTACAGAGGCCAACCAGAACTTTGTTGCCATTATTGAAGCTGCAATGACTAGTTCAATTTCAAGCAACGTCTAAAGATTTAACCTTTTACTTCACATTCGAAGTCATATTCATTTGTGTTGGCCTTGTGCAGATATGGGTTATGGTCAGGTTATGGAGCCGAGAGTGGCAGTTTACCCAACTGGGAGGAAGGCTGGGTTGGTAGAAGTGCAGCAAATTTGCAGTCTGATAAAGCTTGGGCCCCAAGCTGAAAAGAACAGCCGCTTGCTGGCGCCGAAAAAAACGGTAACTTATCATCGATTCGTTGACCGCACGGATTTCTCAAAGATGCGGGCCACTCTCGGTGCGGTTGAAATGTTGCGAGCACGACTTAATAGCAAATTTGTACGGTTCAAGAGTCACAATTTTTCGCGAGGCGGCGCCGCAAAGCGACGTCAAGCAGTACAGGCCTCAGCTCCCGTCAGTGCTCCTGCCTGTTACTTATGGCATAGAGTCATGTATCTGCCGCCACCCCACCCCCTACTGTAGCGCCGTGCCACTTCGGCACGGAGAGTTTTTTTTTTTGAGACATAAAATTTGGACGAGGCGAGAGGCCGCCGCGCGCGGTGTGATTCCTGACCCGGAGAAGTTGGGGCAAGCGTTTTGACTTGCAGCGTCTGCTTCACGGTGATGTGCAGTCCGTGCGGTCAACGCATTGACGATAACAATACGAGCAACCCAAATATACGAAAAAAGACCCAACGCGCCTGCGAGTCGACGAGATCAAAGAGATACAAAGTATGACTGATTTACGCTGTAGAACGTCGCTAGATCAATATGTTTGAAACCAAACAAGTAGACGTGCAAAAGATAAGCTGCAGATAAAGGGTAGCTAGCTGACGGGAAAAAGTAGTAAACAGCACACAGCAATGGTCGACAATAGAGCGCGGTAACTCCCGGATGCGTTGATGTTACACTTGTGTGCAGCACCCTAAGCTTCACGTACTCACCTTCGGGGCAACGCGGGGATCGTGCAAAATTAGGATTACTTAACATGATCGAGTATTACCGCATCACCTATTAAGAGAAAAGTCCCGCCATTCCTACCCGACAAAATGGCCCTTTGGAACTTTGTAAGTAGTCCACTGGGTCACGAAAGCGCAAGCAACTTGCGCTTTTTTGCAATAATCTATATATGAGGCTGTCATATAAGTAATGTGACCCGCTTCTTTCATAGGACCAAGGCATAATTTTTCATCTTACAAATGAGCGTAGTAATATTCGCGTTCAGCATGTCGTTACATCACCGTGTAATGTAAATGAGGTTTTGTTGCTCAATCAAATATAGCCCCTATATAACGCATGACTTGATCAGCTTCTCATGGGTGCCTTGATTTGTCTCAAAATTCATTCTTCACAAACTGAGTTTTACAAGCCTGTGTTGTTCTGCTTCGTTCAGAGTTGCTCAACTTCATACTTGCTCATAAACCGTAAACCCTCGATTTTCAACAGCTTGGGAAGATACCTACAAGAGAAGGATACCAACCTAGATTCACATTTTGAGAAGAGACACATATATAGGGCTTATCAAATTGAGTGTCGTTTGCACCAGCATCTCCATCCTCGCGCTGGGCTCTGCGTCTCGTCTGCGGTACATGCTCCCTAATCACTTCCAATCGATTGATGCTCCGTCTTTCCCACGCTCGCCCTGGGAAAGAGCTCAGAGAGCAGCCCTGCGGAAGAGACGCAGAGTCCAGCGCGAAGATGGAGATGCCGGTACAAACGACACTCAATTTGATAAGCCCTATATTTGGAATTGCTTGGAACTCTGATTCCAAGCATGCTGTCTCTAGCTGCTATGCGACATTCTAAAATGAGTTGCGGTCTCTTCTGTGCGCAAAATGTGCATGCTCACCGGCTTACTGATGCTATGGTGTCAACGTCTAGGTGTCTTTGCATTGACAGGATGCTTCCCTTTCGAGATTTAAAGACGTAATCTGATGCTACTCCGATATTCCAACCCCTTTTCCGAGCAGACTCCTATTTAAAGGCCATCTTCACAAATTTGGAAGTATGTCAATTATTCACAATACCACACAACTCGCTCTGGAATGCTAGGAATAGCATATTTAAAAAAAGCGTTTGAAGCTAATTTCAAATATACGTGTCTCATCTCAGTGTCTCTCTCTCGAATCTAGTCAATATCTTTGTTAGATGTTTTGTGTTGTCAAAAATCAAAGGGTTTGCGCAGACTTTTAGCTTACGTCACAGGTTATGCAATGCCAAAAATGAATGCGAGACATTTGAAAAGAGAAAACTTATTGGAAGTTGGAAAACTCCTGCGCTAATCCAATAAATTTCAATTCCAGATTCACACTAGCTATGTAAGTTCTTACTCGCATGTTTGCTAGAAAAAGTGGGCGCGACGTACGTCAATTCTTTGAAAAAGTAAGTAGAAGCTCCTCACCGTAACTACCCCTAAAAATTTTTGGGTATTGACGCTATGATCTTACGCGTCAAATTTTTTTCATCTTTCCTCTCCTCCTCCCTCAATAAGAATCTTTTCCTTCCACTATCCATTCATCACAAGAGCTTCTTATGAATGCAATCTTTTCAGTAAACTCAAACATCCAATTTTTTCAATCGTCGCTGGGGCTCATACTGCTGCGAAAGTTAAAATCCGGTTACAACTCTTGAATCGAACCTAGCAATGAAATCTCAAATGCTTGGTAAACACTTTCTTCCGGAGGACAACGGAGTGTATTTTTTGACAAAAAATTTTTAAGTAAATCATGGAAGATATCTTTTAACATCTACTTTGAGCTTTGGAAATTACCTATGAATCAAATTCACGAAAATAAATTATCTATATTAGCCTTTGTAAGCGGAATTTTCACATCTTAATTTGCGTATCCTAATCAACCATACCTCAGAAGAACTAAATCGATGCGGGTACCATATTATTATACATCGTTTTGAGATATGAGGAAATGTAAAGATAATGAAGATAGCAGCGAGAGTTCATAATTTGATGAAGATTCTGCAAGAGTAAATGCTGATGTTAAAACCTGGACGACCTTGTCTTAGGATAGTTTCCATGCATTGTGAGCAATCATTGAGCAACATTAATGCCTTATCAAATAGACACACCTCTTTAGCCTATTCTCTAGACTAGCTTGAGATTTAGGCACACCGGAAGATCGCAAGTAATTCGAATAGAATACACCCGTGTTGGTCTGATCTGTATTACTAATGTTGAAGAATTCACGAAGAGCCTACAAAAAAAGAAGATCAGACAGACGCAATAATTGGGATGTACAGCAGACAAATTGAGAGGAGACGCTCACCTTTTTAAACCCTGGCATTCCATAAGCATAAATGAGAGGATTCAAAGCACAACTCATGTGAGACAAAACTACAGCCCATAATGTCATGCCAGCAATCGAGAACTCTGGCCAAAAATAATCGATTGTGTTGATAGTGTAGAGCGGATACCTGAAAAGTTTCTTCTAGAAACTTGATTTGTAAATTTTGGTTGCTATGCAAAATTATTACGTGAACGCGCACAGCATCTTATTTCTTCAACTGCCTTCCTGCTTGAACTGCCAAAGAGTAATTTGCAAGTTTATTCGTCGTGTCTTACACCCCACTTGTATCAGGTAGCTCCAAAAATAATGTCCGTGGCTGCTACCACATGCGAATATAGAAAAATACGTATGGGACACCAAAAGAAGCAAGCTCTACAAAATGACCACCAAGATTTTACCCAAATCTTAATTGAAGCTGAAATCTGTGAGCATTTGACTACACCAAAAATCGGATCTTTGCTCGGGAAAGCCTACTTCAGTCGCTCATGGCATAGCAAATATGAGGTAACATTCATGTACGCACTTGCTGTAATTTTCTCATGCGTCGAATTTTAGAAAAAATTCGATGAATGAAAAGTGGCAAACCTGCCTTCTAGCAACGCAAACTTTTCACAACTTACTAATGTATACTACTAGCCTTCTAAGACATGACTGCAAAATTACAGTCTGTTATGCGCTGTGGTTCTCGAGAAAAAACATTTTTGCATCATGAACCTGTAAGCTACAGACATTACTACCAACTTAGTAACTAGTAGTTAAGTATAATGAAAAGACTTCATTATTAACAAGGGCACGGTACTCGATGACCGTGGCCTTTTGGGATGAGACATATGCAATCACACTGTTTCGGAGTGATTCCGAATCTGACTTCTGTTTCTGCTAATCGTTTTTCTAAAAGAAGTTATGAAGGATTTTCGCGTCAACGCCCAAAAGAAATACGGTCACGAATGCCTATGTTTCTAAAAGAAGCTTGATTGAAGCAATACAAAACTGAAAAACACAAAAGGACTTGAACCACTACACTGCCGCTAAACTACATCGTAGCGGCGGTTTTGGTATTCCGACCATTTCCTTCGGCGCGAAAATCTTCCATAACTTTTTTCAGAGAAACGATTAGCAAAAACGGAAGTCAGATTTGGATCAGCGCTCCAAGTTGAGTGTGATGGTATACATCTCATCTGAAAAGGCCACGGACACCGAGTATCGTTCCCTTGTAAGGGATATTCCAATACATTATTTGTAGCGGCACTGCATTGCACAAACTGCCCTTTGCTCTACCACAAACAATGGATTAGGTTAGAAAAGCTTCCTTTCTCACGAATTTGCCCTTACGTGCACTAAGGTTCTCTGAACTTCAAATCACATACACTCGTTGCAATGACGAGGCTGCTGTTATTTGCGGAAGCAGCAGAGCTTGGACATAATTAACCATATTAGGGAATTTACAGCTGCGTTTAGTGCCAGCTCAGTCAAAGATCTATGCTGCTCTGCTCTAAAAGCTCTGCTCTTGCGGAACTACGATGATTTACTACTAATTAAGTGTTACATCAAAACCAAGAGATTTGCAAAAAAATCGAATACCCCAAAATCTCACAGGTAAGTTCGCTTTTCGAACGAGATAAGCCTCTCCAGTAAGGCCGGTACCAAAAATTTTCAAAATTGAATAGAAACTAGAATCTACTCTTTTGTTACGCAACCTTCCATGTGTTCGCAGCTCTAGTTGAGCACTAATTTGGACCCTCACTGTGGCCCACCCTTCCCCTCTCCTCCCCAACCTTTATGAAATTCTGCAGGGAAAATAAATAGGCTTTGTAAACTTTGTACACCAAGCGTTTTCACAAAGGGAAGGTTGATGCTGCTCCATCTTGCTTACCTATAAGTGGCAAAAACTCAACACTTCTATTTTTTTTACCAAAAGGCTGTTTTCAATTACACAACAGCTTGCTCTTGTGCTGTAAACCAATCAAAAAGTATGTCAAACTATTTTTGGTTTTAGTGTTAATAGCTCCTGACATGTGTTTTGAATATCTTTGCCGGTGACCTCCTCGAAAACATTTCATTTTGCAGCTGCGTTGATGAGTCCAATCTCAAAGCATCAACTTAGGGCCGCATGCATTGATATCCCCACCGGGGAGGGGATCGCAGCTTAACAGAAAGACTCTTATCCTGAAGCTCTTAACTTCTGGATTCGGCGCTGTTTAACTATACATAAGTATTCCTACCATCCTTCGAGCTGTACAAGCCGCATTTTCCAGCTTTTTGTATGATCCCTGATAATCCCCGGCGGCCGATCTTCACTTCAAAGTCGTTTTCCTTTCTTCAAAGAAAGTTGTATGGGTTGTCTAACCGAAGGGTGCTAAAACATAAGAACCAAGGATTTATTGTAGACATGAAATTTGCGATGAACACAAGTCAAAAAGGGGTTTATCGAAATTTCGATCTTTCTGAAACCCATATGTTCTTAACGACTTTGAAGAAATGAAGATTGGCCACCGGGGATCATCAATCATACAAAAAGCTGGAAAATGCGGCTTGTACAGCTTCCCGCTCCTATCAATACTTTCAAAGTGATGGATGGTAGCAATACTTACGGAGAGATAAAAGCGTGAAATCCAAATGTTGGAGCTTCAGGATATGAAGCTTTTTGAGCTGCGATCTCTTCCCCGGCGGGGATGGTAGTGCATGCGGTCCTTAGTATTTGATTTAGCGGAAAAACTTCAACACACCAGCAAATGCCATAGGAGACTACGAGAATGAGCAAGATTCGTATCAGCTTTCTTCGTCCTTGCAGTCGCCTGTCCCTCTCGCTTTCTCTCAGCAGAAACTTGATCTACAAAGGGGCGTATAAGACTAATACTCATGTGGACCTTCCACCCACCTGAAGTTCCTCTTTTCTAATTCGGCTATAGATGCTTACATAGCAGAACACAATCAAAAGCGTGGGCGCGACAATGGTCCCTCCGAAAATAACGTAAACCAGGTAGCGATAGTCCACTACTTTCGTAAAATAGCATTGGTCATCGATGGCATGAAATGCAGATTCGGTTCTGGAAAAAATGGATTTTTTCTTTCAAATTCTTGCAAATTTCGTCTTCCTATTCCTAATCTGACTGACATTCTGCATCTGAAAATCACATAGATTTCGGCAACTTAGAATTAGAACACCTACATTTTTGTTATGTTCTAATATAGAATTGCGCTTTTTCTGCTCAAAAGAAAGCTTGCTTAGTCGAAATAGCCCTTGTAGAAGAAATGTATACCACATTGAAGGGCAAAAAGAACGCTGATTCCAAGTGTGCTTTAACTATCTGCGATACATTTATGGACGAGTATTTACGAAAGTTTATTTGAGCGAAATTAAATGTGGGCAAAGTGAGTTACTAAAACCAAATAAAGTAATCAAGCGTGGTATAATTTCTATGTTAGAGTATTTACTAAATAGAGTGCTCTGATGATTAGCACTGCTCCATTCAAGAGCTATATTGCAGCTACTTTTTCTACTTTCTTTCTACTTTTGTCTTACTTGCAAAAAATTTTTGGCTTCAATAAACGCTCATAACCCTTCAGCCATGAACGTATCGCAGATAAGGGAGACAGATTTGCAATTAGCCTTTTATCCCCTTCAATTTGGCATGCACCCTGCCTATAAAGGCCACTTCGGCTAAACATGCTTCCCTTGCCAGCAGCAACCAACGTTCTTTGATATTCCTCGCAAATATTATTTTGGCAATCTTCTCGGTTACAGGCATATGAAGAGATTATGATTTCAAGCAACGTAGTCAACGGAGACTTTGTTACAAAAAATTGAATCCCTTTCACTGCCAAGACGTTGAGCTTTCAATTTATAAAACAGCTAATTTCAGCGTGTTCGGTGAACACAATAACATGCTATTTGGATATCATATGTGCCATTGTGTGAAGACTTTTTTGTGAAGACTTGTCCCGCATTGAAACAGATGCAAATTTGATTAGAAGCATCGCTAGAATAAAAAACGTTGGATGCGCAAATTGCAAAAAAAAGTCGCATAGTAATGTGGTGAATTTGATGAACCCAAGCGCGATGCGAGCATTTTGAATAGTTTAAGCTCTTGCTTTAAAACTCATTATTAGTGCAAGACTCTGACAGCCTGGACGTTGCTATTTGTCCTTCAATTCCTCTAACCTTTTTGTGCGTAATAAATTCAACCGATGCACATTCGGGTCAAAGCTCGCTTCGCCATCCATAAAAAGTCAACAATTATTTTTTTCGAGTGCAAGCCAACATTCGTTAGCGCTGCTAACAATAAACGGCAGCCCGATAGTGTGATCGCAAAACTGCCATAAATCCTGAACGAGCAGCTACAAATGGTTAGCACATTGAGCGACGTAAGCTGCAAAGGCACCGCTCGCCCAAATTCTAGTTTTCCATGTTTTGGTCGTTCCGGACCTTCTCATGCTCTGATTCCAAATATGAAGTCGAAAATCAGCAAAAACCTTGACAATCCCCCTTCCAGAGAACCCGCAGGCCGGTTCTCCGGATTGGACGAGCGCGCATAGATGGGTGGGGATTACCGAAGGGGCGGTACCGACTTGAAGTCCTCATGCCTCTTCGCTATTCCAAAGCGATTTTCTTGCTTCCGAAGCGACATTTTGCATAGCGACTTGGGCATCGGGTGATAAGGGGTCTTATTATCGTAAGCTGCCAAAAGGTCAAGATCCCTAACTGTGGACGGTGATCCTCTAATCAGAAATCAAACGGTCTTTTACCCTTCTCGACTTCAACCCCCAAAAGCATAATTCTGGAGCCACTTTCGTAAGAGCATGGTTAGTGGCAGCTATTGCAGGCAACAAAAATGTAATCTTGTAATACCCGTCCTTCCTGACCAATAAGTTCTGATCCCAAATATAGCTCGTGGTTGATGGCTTGATTTGATTTGATTGAGATGTCGTAAGTGAAGGAAGTGGAAGCTGCATGCAGCAGTCATCGCCCCACTCCCATACTATTACCCATGCATTGGCAGTGCTCGTTACTCTGCACGCACATGAATTATTGAAATGAGTTATTGCGTTAACCAGTATACCTTTATAAGG